GCGCCCTGATGCCATAATCAGCTGGCACAGAGACCGGGGACAAAGGCTCCCCGTCCAAATCCCTTCTCCGAGCCCCTGCCCTGCGTGCTCAGCCTGGTACTGCTGCTTGGTTCAGAGCGAGGTAGGTTGCTCTTGTGGTTAAGCCCCAATTCCCAGCTCTGACACAGACTCACCGCGTGACCTCGGGTAAGTCTCTTCATCTCTGCCCCCTGCAAAATGGGAAGAACAAGCCTTCCGTGATCTCAAGTCTCTGTGGGGCAGGGCCAATGTTCCCTCTAATATTTTTTCATTCCGTGCACAGAATAAATTTTGTCACGTGCACCGAGGCATGTGCAGATGTGCACCACCAATAGACACACAAGCTGCCAGCTGTGGGCACTCTGCTAATCCACTGGGCAGTATTTGAATCGCTCTTGGGCAGCCGCCCAAGTGCCCAGCTTACAGGGAGCCCCAGGCAGGGCCCAGCTCTCCTCGGCATCGGTAAAGCACCTTTCGAAGAGGCTGCCCTCTGGGCTGCGGCCACATGCGATCAGTTATTCTGCAGGTGACTTGAAAAAGGGGAGTAAAGAACCGCCGGGCCTAGGACTTTATTCTTCAGAAGGCACCACCCACCGACCCCTGAGGATTTCTGCTGCTGCTTGTTGAACTCCAGAACAGCAGGGACGGCAGGTCTGACCTCCCTGGCTCTGCGGAAGGGCTCACTGAAGGCCCCAGAAATATGCAGCGGGGGAGCTTTCTCAGATCCTCACTGAAGCGAGGGGGGGGGCTGGCTGTTTAACAGGGACCGCTGCTCCCAACAGCTGCACAGGCAGCCAGCGAAGGGCTGACAGCAGTGAGAGAAATCCCTCCCTCTCTTCCCCACCCCCCTCAATTGGGTTTTGCTTTAACAACCCAGCTGCAGCTGATCCAATGCACAGGGCAGACCAGCCTTGTGACCTGGAGGTTTTTCTAAGGGCTCTGTTCTAGGCGTTATTGAGAGGCCCGGGCTGTGCAGATCATCAAACTAAGTGACTCCACGGGGTCCCTTCTGGGCTGAGCATCTTGGGATGGATCATCCTAGCCGCAAAAAGAGCCATTCCTGGAACTCCCGAGGCCTGGACGGAAGGTCCCGATCCCCGCAGGTGACAAGACCAGGGAGCTGCAGCATGGAAAGCCCCAGCCTCTGTCTTTGAGCTAACAGCAGTAGAAGGCTGTTTTCCCTCTACCACAAGAGGGTGACCCCTTCCCCGTAGGCCCAATGTCTCATATAAAGCAGCAAAAAAGGGCAGAGACGGGTTTTGTGGGTCCCCTGTCACCCTGACCGACCCGCTGTCACCCCAGGGACACCACTTTAGTTTCACACCTCGGTGGGCAAGCCCCCTTCCATAGGGGCAGCAGCAAACCACTGGGCTTCTGCTGAGGAGAGCCGGAGAGGTCCGTGCCAGCCCTCACATCTCCGGCAGCCCACCCAGGCTGCCGTGAAGAGGCACAGGGGAGGGCTGGGTCTGACGGTGACCTGTGCCTTTTACATCTCCCTATGTAACCGGTGATATTCCCAGAGCCATACCAAGCAGCTAAATCAAACCCATTGCCGGTGAGGTCATCTAATGGCGGATTATTTTTAATTTGAACTTTTTGCCTGAACCTTTTTCCTGTGCTGACTCAGCCTCCCCCCTCGTGTTCCTCCCCCACTTGGGAAATTGATGGGGCAGGGGTAAGGGAGCATGAGCAAGCGTCTAGAACAGCACAGGGGGCTCAAGGCACCGAGGGGCAGGGCTACGGTCTAGGGGTTAAGCGTGGACGGCCGGACGCCTGGGTTCTGGCCCCTGTATTGCCCATGGCTTAAAGAGGCAGAATTCCTGGCTGTCTGGGGGGAGACACGGGGCTGTGGGACCCTGCATACGGACGCTTAAATCCCTTTGGCTTTGACGCTGCAGGGCCTGGTGACGGACGGAGCATCTGAGGTGATGCAGGAGTCCGATGCGAGGGCAGCACTGAGCTCCCGCCTGCCCGTAGCCACGGAGCAGGACAGCAGCAGGGGCCCGTGAGCTGAGCGCTTGTGCGGCCGCCCAGCTGACGAGCAGTGCCCACGGCGAGGCTGGCTGTTTCTATGGGTGGTGCACATTGGCACACGCCTTGGTGCACATAAGTTATTCCCCAGATGGATGGAAGTCGTCAGAGGGAACAGTGGACACAGCAACACTCCCATTAATACAGGACCCCAGCCCTGCACCCCAGGGTGAAGCTCATACAAGGGGGGAGTCTGAGGGGGAGGGCAGCGGCACCCCACTTCCCAACAAGCTCCTCTGCTGAGCTCCACTGGGCCCATCACACCCACAGATCTCAGAGCACTGGGCCCTCAGGCCACGCCCCTTAACCAGTGAAACCGCCGACCCTGCCTCCCACCACTGAGCCAGGGCCCTTCCCAAACATCCCTCAGGCCTAGGACTGCAAGGGACCGCGGGGCGCCAGCCAGCCCATCCCCGACAGGCAACTGTCAAACCGGCTCTTCACGATCTCCCAGTGCGGGAGAATCCACAGCAGCCCTAGGCCAGGAGGGTAAGTTTTCTCCCTCCTCCTCCTCACACCCTTTTAGGTCCTTGAACACGGTGTATCAGGCCCCCCTCGGGCTCCTCTTTCCAGTCTAAACAAACCCGTTGTTTTCAATCTCCCCTCCCTGGCCACGTTCTCTAGACCTTCCCGCACAGTGGTTGCTCCTTTCTGGCTTGTCCTCCAATGTGACCACGTCTTGCCCGAAACCACCCCCTCCCTCATGCACATGGAGCCAGGCTAGGACAGGACCGGGCGTGGAAGGAACCCAGGGTGGGGGGGGGGGGAAGAGGGGGGC